GTCTTGCTATAAAAGATCATACTGCACCCTTGGTCTCTGCCACATGCTCCGAAGCTCCCAGAAGGGGAGCTAGGTGCTGTGGTCAGGTGGCCAGCTTAATAAAGGCTCTTAAATTTAAATTCTGAGTCGGTGGTCTATCTCGTTGAGCCAACCCATAACAGAACTAAAACAAGGGCAGCCTGTTGCAGTCTCTGCGGGGAGAAGGAAGTGGCCTGGGGCCTCTCTCTGGAGAGGTGTGCAATGCCCCACGGGGAGGAGACAACGCGGGCAAGGATCCAGGCCCTGGGTCTTCCAGAAACCACAGGGCAAAGGGCCCAGGGGCCGGTGCGCCTCTCCCCACCCCCACTCTCAGCTGAGGGGCCCCTTGACTTTCTCCGGGGTTCCCCTTCCCCACTTCCCTCCGGCCCAACCACTCGCATCCTGTTGCAGCCCGGCCAGAGAAGGAAGCAGAGTCCGGGGTCCCTGTAACCTGCCAGGGTGTGAAGCAAGGCTTTCCCCGCCCTGAGGCCCCAGCATAAAAGGCAGCCCCGGGCACCCCTGCGCTCCTAGCCGACCCTGCGCGCCCTGCTCGCCATGTCCCGGCTCTGCGCGCTGCTCGCCTGGGCCCTGCTCGCCCTCCAAGGACTCGGGGAGGGGGCGACAGAAGACGAGGCCTGCTGCGGCCCCATTGTGCCCCGAAGAGAGTGGAAGGCCCTGGCGTCCGAGTGCGCCCAGGAATTGGAACTGCCGCTGCGCTACGTGGTGGTGTCGCACACGGTGGGCGGTCACTGCGACACCCCCGCCTTGTGCCTGAAGGCAGCGCAGAACGCGCAGCACTACCACGTGCGGACACGGGGCTTCTGCGACGTGGGATACAAGTAAGTGCGGGGAGCGCGAGGGTGGCGGGGCCTGGGAGACAGCGGGACCCCCCCACTCCGGTCTTGGAGCCGCCCCGCTGACACCTGCGCAGCTTCCTCCCCGGGTTCTCCCGTCACCATAGGGGGCTGGGCGCGTGCAGGCAGCACAGGATGCTAGGAGGCGCGGAAGGGCTCAAGTTCAAGTTCAGCTCCCTGGAGGAAGGGACAGGCTTTGCTGTGTTAGGAGGCTGGTGCCGGTCCCCAGCTCTGCTGTGGCTGCCTGAGACCAGACCAGGCTGTCACCCTCGCTCAGCCTCCTCCTCTGCAGCCAGGGGACTGGTCCACCTGATCACTGAACCCACACACGCGAAGCACTTAGGACACCCCTGGCATGTAGCGGGAGCCCCAAATCCACGGGCTATGCTTTAGGCACCTGCCACACGCCGGGCCACGTGCTGAATGCTGGGGTGGGATTGAGCCCGACTGGATTTCGAGGCCGGCAGGGAGAAACACAGGCAGCACAATGAACTCGGATGGTGATAGAAGTGATGAACAAGAGTGATTGTGGGGGACCTCAGAAGCTGGGCTCCTTCTGAAGGGCAGGCTGAGGGACCGGCTTCCTGTGATGGTGGCTCTGAGGTGGGCTGGGGTGCGGGGGCTGAGGAAGTGTAGTAAGCTAGGGGCAGGCAGAGGGGAAGGCT